GTTTAGAGAATTATTTTAAAAACATTGAGCGTACATAATACTTTGCAAAGGCTTTCAGGATGTTCCTCAGAAAGTCTTCTTCTAAAATCACCTCTTTTTGATCTAGTTTCAAGTCTGGAAGATTACAGTTGTTATTCCCAAGAGGAAACAGACCCTTTTTGTAGTTCCTTGGGTAATAGCTTATCCCTTCTTAGAGGCTTTAAGCTTAGGAAAATCATAGAATCTTTTAGGTTGGAAAATACCTTTAAGATCATCAAGTTCTCAAGATGGCAAACCAAGAGGAACATAATGAGGAGGACTATTCCATCCTGCCACTTGTATGGCCAGAGAAGCAAGCCTTGGAAATTTCCTTTATTAAAATTAATTACTTCTGAGGCCAAAATCTAGCATTCCTCCTCTATTTACCACCTCCTTCCACGGATTACTTAGGGAAAATGAAAAACTCCTCATTCTAGAGCTAGCTCACTGCATACTCTCTGAATTTTTGAGAGTTCTGCTTTATTTCTACGGTTATTTGGGGTTTGTAAGCAGATGATCTTTAAGGTCCCTTCCAACTCAAACCCTTCTGTGATTCTATTATGGGAGAAAATTTATAGATGAAGTGTGCTGGGGCAGCACTAGAAAGAGGCTTTTGAAGAGAAAAGTGGTCCAGCTGCTCAGCCATAGAAATAACGAAAAGCAACACAGTGCCCTTCGGAGACGATCCCTAATTGCCTGCTTTAAACCTCTCTCATACCCTGTGTGACGGAGGTTGTTGGCACCACTGGGACTGCTTACGCCGAGTGGTCAGGCAGCTGTCCTCTCAAGTGCTAAATTTTGTTACGTCAAGTACTCTGCACCTTTCACTTACCCTCTGCTTGAGAGCTCCAGTTGCTCAGGAGGTGGACCTGTCAGAGAAGCCCTGCTAAGCCAGAACATGCTACAGCCTCCAAAGTTAAAAAGCGAAAGCCTCTGATGGGAGAAGTGACCAGTATCAGCACCACAGAGCTCAAGTGCTTATTAGGGCAGCAATTTCTTGTTGCTCCAGGCAGAAAGTTTGTTTAAATCTAACGGTGGCAGTCTGGGTGTTTTGCCGTGTCAGCACTTTCTGCTTGCCTGGACCAACCAGCCTCATGTCTACTTCTGGATATCTGAAAGCAGCAGCTAAATTTTGCATAGCGGATTTATCATCTCTGCCTGCAAAGGAAATGCTTCGTAATTTTAAAAGAATACACATTTTGCCTTTTTGTGGTGGGGAAATGTGTATTAGTTATGTTAGCCCCTCAGTTGGTATAAATCAATGTGGACCAAGTGATCTACATTGATTTAAGAAAGAAAATATGCAAAATTGACTGTATTTGTTCTGCATTCCACCTCCCTTCGGCCACCAACTTTTCTCTGAAGGGACGTTACTGTGTGAGAAGCCAGCACTGGGGTAGTGTGAGCAGCCAGCACTGGGGTGCACTTCTTCCCTGTGACTATAGTTTAGACACGCCGCTGTAGTCTTTCAAACCTTGAGAAGCATTTTGAACAAGTAAAATACAATTGCTGTAACCGGTATTCAGATCGGAAAGCTTGGGCTAACGTTCTGCTGCCCGTGGGAACTGTGTTATGATCCAGATTATGCATAGCCACTCCTTGAATTTTACGCAGAAAGCACCCAAACTCATACCCCTTCAGCAGCGTCTCTTTTTGTGTAAAACTGTAGTGAGTTCATGTCCCTAGTTCTTGAACACTTTGCGTAGCACTCGAGATTTTCTCCCTTCTGAATAATCAACAAGTGCCACGTTTCATCTTTACAACCTCCAATGGAATTTAAATTTGAAAGAATAGGATTGACTTTTCAGAGCGAGATTTTAATTTAAAAATCACTAGTAGGAAGTCACTGTCTGCACTGAGAGTATTATTGAATTACACTAAAACAAGACAGCTATACACACGATTTCCAATTATGAAATATTTCTTCACTAAATAAAGCATAAGTGAAAGTGGCCAAGCTTTACAAATGAAATTAAATGTTTTTCAGAGACCCAGCAGCCAGCCAAGAACACATCTGATTGTAAAAAAAGGTAACCCTCAACAGCATCACAAGAAGCACAGTTAAAAGTACATGTTATTTACAAACACTGTGACTGAAGATGCAAACGAGGCACTTCTTTCCTCAATGGTTAATTGGATATATGGACACCTCATCTGCAGGAACACTTGTGATAAATTAAGATATGCAAAACACTGTAAGCATGTTTGCAAATGAGATGCTGTTGTTAGGGCACAACAGCGGGCATCCACACTTCTGATCTGATTCTGAGTGGGGTCATTTTAATCGTGCTTTGCTGCAGGTGTTTATCCATCACGTACTTAAAATGCACCTTTTAAAAATGTACGGAATTTTTAGAATACGGATCCAGATTCCCTTTATTTCGTTATGAGTGGGGTGACAGCGTAACCAATAGGCAGGCTATACGTGCATTGTAAAAGCAAGGGGGACTGAGAATGAGCACATGGCAGGAGAGGATTTCTAACTGACATAATATGTTCCGATGCAAATTCCTGATCTGTAGGAAGACAGAAGCAGCTATGCTTGTTTTCTATAGGGTTGGAACAGCAGCACAGATGCCAGGGAGAGAGAGTACTGACAGGCTGAGCTCCAGAGCAGTACTGGTCATGCCTGCAACAGCCTCAGTGTCTGATCCATTCTGTCCTTGAAGTTGCCTTACAGAAAATACTAATTTAGCACAGGAAATGGGGAGAAAGCTTACACGTGTGTCTTCCCGATTGAATTTCTGAGCAGTTCAAACCTGAGAGGAACTGACATGATGCAGGACACAGCTCCATACCTGGTGAACCTGTGCCAGCTCCACCTCTAGCCTTGCTGATCTTTTAATAAATCCAGTCTTCGTGGTAGTGTGCTTAGGTGTCGGTGCTTTAACCTTGACCTGCGTGACAGAAGCTGGGAGAGATGCTTCCAGTTCACACAGTCCTAAGAAACACAACCAGCAATCAAGTAATGGCGTGGTGGGGAGAGAAATGTGAGTTTTGTTAATATTTTAACTAAATACCTCATACAAACTACATCTTACCTGCAAAGGTGTTAAGATACAGGTTTTTTACCACATAGCGCTCAGAATGGTTGTCTGGGAAATAACCAATTCTTGACAAAGGAGTGTACGTTTGTGATGCAAAGTCAGTATACTCTCTGATGATATCTCCTCTCTCCAGCTTCCCCATCACATTGTGCCTCTTAGCTATCAGTTTCCTGAGCACTGAAAAGGAAATACGAATGTGAGCAGGTTCTTCACACTAATAGTTCTAAAAAAGCCGTATCTTTGGAAATTCCAAAGAGCTTTTGCTGATTAATAGAGAAACGTGACCTGTTTGAGCAGAACAAGTGCTGGCCATGCATACTGTGGATGTGACCTGTTTCGTCTTGAATAAAGACTGCAGCCTTGTGAAAATGGAAATGGCTTGTCTGAAAACGAAGTCGCACACTGCTCTCTCCCTGTCTTTCAAACTTACTCAGTGCACAGTCACGCTGAATCTTCTTTATTTTCTCCTCTTTAGCCTTCTGGTGGTTTTGCCAGTGGTCATCCAAGCGCTTGGCATCCAGCTCATTCTGATTCTTCTCCCGCCACTGCAGCAGCTTCTTTAAGGCTTCCAGTCGAACCTCCTGCAACCTGCAAGGAAGCAAATCCAGGTATGACCTACTGTACTCTGCAGTGTTCTGTGCAATCCTGCCATCACCAAATCCTACATGTAAACTGACTACTTTACACGTAGATCATATTGCATATCTTGTATTTAATCTTTAAGTTTGAAAAGGGAGTTTAGCACTGGTGAAAAGTATTTTGGTAGCAGTCTCTTATATTAAATTTAACAAAAATATCCCTTCTCCAAATCAGGGGATTTTCACAGAAATAAAAGGCTTGTACCCTTCAGCCAACCCCCTAAACCTTCTTGTTCCTTCTCTATTCAGCCAATAATTAAAAGAAATAAAGAGTATAATTGGACTCCTACTTTTCTATTTCCTGTTCTCTAAAGGCCCACTCCTTCCTCTCCATATCGTCCATCATTTTCCTTCTCTTCGCAATTTGTGAGGCATTGTCCATGGCTGGAAGAGTTGCTTCCCATGCACGTTTTTCCCGGGCACGTTCAATCATCTCCACCTCGGCTAGTCCTGCTGGTAGCCCCCGACCTTCCAGGGACAAGAAGCAGTAGCTCTTTAGGAGAATGGTGAATCCAGCAAATAACCACCACCAAAGAGAGGGCTGGATGGCCACAAGCCCAAGTGTTAAACACAAGCAGAACTGTCGATAGTCAGAAGTCAGTACTTCTAAGGCCAGTAAAATTCTACAGTATGAGGAATGGTAGGACCTGCAGATGCTATAGGTTAGCTGACAACACTCGTACTGCAACACAGGTTGCCCAGAGAAGCTGTGGATGCCCCATCCCTGGAAGTGTCCAAGGCCAGGCTGGATGAGGCTTGGAGCAACCTGGTCTAGTGGAAGGTGTCCCTGCCCATGGCAGGGGGGGTGGAACTGGGTGGTCTTTAAGGTCACTTCCAACCCAACCCATTCTGTGATTCTGTGATTTCATTCTCTATTGCAGGCTGCAAAGGAGGAAAAGCTTTTCCACAAAGACACTTTCTGGGAATGAGCACTTTCTTTGGCATGTCCAGTGTCCATCACTATTGCAGGTGTGACACACGGAGATTACGTTCAGCGGTGTACTCTGGGGCAGCAGTGTTCGTACAGGTTTTTTACTGATGCCTAACTCAGAACAGCTGAAAAACAGTAGGTAAAAGGAAAGACTGCTACTAGTTCATATCTATAAAACACAAGACCTTTTCATGTTAAATGATCTCAAAACTCTCTATGAAATACCCTGGAATAGTGCTATTGAGTGGGTAAATATCACACCTATTTCAGAAATGGATAAAATAATGTGCTCCAAAGGAAAACAACAAAGGGCTGGCAATAGACTTGAAACCTGACATTGAAAAAAAGAGCCTCCTGCTAAAAGCGGGAATGCGATTACTATAATTCACCCTGATTTCACAACTCACCCCACGTGAGTGTAGCAAGTGTCAGAAGTTCAGGGACTGAGCCACTGGGAACTATGTATTCAGGGGAATAGGGATCCGTCTGGGCTTCACCATCCCTGTAATCCGTCTGTGTGCCCAAAGTTCGTAACTTGGGACCAACGACCTCACTGTCTCTTGATGCTGAATGGACACAGGGCTCCACCCTAAAAAGAGATGCAAGATGGAAGAACATCTGTCGCATTCATTAAAAAACCAAACTGGAACCACAACACTAAGTCAAAGGTAGGACATCCAAATATGTTTCTGTGTATCTTAACATTGCTTCCATTGATGTTAACTCCATTTCCTTTAGTAAAACCATACTGAGGCTACGCTGAGTCCTCTGAGACCTCTCTCCTAGGTTAGCAACCCAGAAATCTTCTGGCTTCAGCTCTCACAAGTTATTACATGCAAATCTTCCCGATGTGTCCATTCTAAAGCACTGCTTTTAATGGGCACAAACAATGTTTGTCTTTCATGTTTGTCTTTCCAACATTTCCAGAACAAATATGATGTAAGCACGTGCAACTTCCATTCACTCTACTAGGAACTGAATCTTCTTATGTCCTCTCAAAATTTGACCCCCACTGACAACCACACTAGACTACTTTATGGATGCTCTACACCACTGGACAGCATTGCAGCTGTCACAGAGATTCTAATAAAATATCAGAAGGTTTTCCAACAATATTGCTGTAGTGGAAAATCTTCTTTGCACTGATATCTCATCTAGGATTCAGAGACACTTGGCTCTGTCTTTCAGGCCTCATAATCATCACACACTTAAGGTACATGTCCTTTACCCAGAAAGCAGTACTCATTACTGCAAGCAAACTCTGAAATGGTCAGATTCCTCAGGGATCCTCAATGGTGAACAAATCCTTATCTCTTAACACGTTTTTCCTGTTGGTTCATTATGAAAACTGTTGGTCGCCAGCTGATAGTTCTCAATCTTTTTCTGGTGAGATGTGACCCATTACAACAGTAATGTTCCAGAACTCACTACTTACTTTTCCATTGCATAAGCAACATCTGGGGGAAGCAGCTTATCAGAAGGGATGAGGGGGCTGAAAAGAGAGAATGCAGATGTTAGCCAACAACCATGAGCATAAAAGACCATTACAGTTTAGACAAACTGTAGTCCACTCATTTCAGTGGAGTTACACTGATTTTCCACAACCCAGGTTCTGTAGTTGCATATTTAAGAATTCTGCTTGAATATGAAGTAATTATTTCATAGCTAAGGAGCAAAGAGAAAGTTTCACCAGCAGGAGTGAGTGTTATTCTTCTGTCAAAGCAGAAAGTGGAATGCAGAAGACGACAATAATTAAAACAAGTTAATTTTGAGTGTGCTTACAACACATTGTGTTTGTTTCACTAATTAGTTGACTTATTTTCACTTTGAGACAGTTTTTTTTTAATAACTTGAAATCCTGAAATGAAGTCCTACAATCAGATGGTAAGGCAAGCTGGTTTGGACTTATCTAATTTGATGGTTTCCTCTTTTTTGCAGTATTTTATGAACTAGTTTCCTCTTTTTTGCAGTATTTTATGAACTATCTTCAAAGTGATATGGGCTCAATGACATATTAATAATTCCTTCTTAGGCATTCTTGTAGTTTGCATATTGCAGTTCACTATCAATTTCCCTTAGCCGTTGAGAGACTTTAAATCTTAATTTTGAAGTGCAGAAGATAATATCATCTTCGTCCTATTTTTTGTTGTTAATAGAGGAGCCATAAAGAACTTCAATTTCTTAAACTTGGTGGGTTTTTTATATTTAAAGTGGACATACTGGCCAATAGCTGCTGGTAATAGTGAATGTAATTCAAAGTGTATGTGACTAGGTTGAGAATGTTTGTGTGCTAGCTGTTGGCTCAGATCTTGAGTCCACTGTTGACCTGCAGTGTCATTCTAGAAGGAGCAGGGTAGTCCTGCAGTAGAGGACATAATTGATGAAAAGGTAATCAAGGATTCCCCTTGCTCCCTTTATGCTCTTGGCAGAAAGTGGGAGTTAAAAGGTTCCTCCTTAAGAAAGCACTTTTCCAGAAGTCTGGAGAACCACAAAGGCTTTGTGAGTATCTTCTTCCTTTGTGTAGGTGGGTCTACAGCCCAAAGATTTCTACAAATAATTATTAAGTGCAGAATGCCTGATACATTACATATGGTAAATCATTACCTGAAAATTCTGGCATAGTGTGAATTTTAAAAGACCTGGTTGTTTAGACCTAAAAATTTTCTATCGCAGTGATTAAAGAACCAACAGAAAAGACCAAAAAAAAAAAAAATCTCTGGCATATACTTAGGTGCTCTTTAAACTACACAGAAACAAGCTTCTGAAGTCTGTTTCAGATCAGTTCATTCCTTACCATGCAAAATATTTGTAGCGATTCCTTCCACTGACTTCAGGATCTTCATACAAAACTTGAGGTATCTGAAGAGAAGGTTGAGCTCTAAAAGCCAAAATACGGGATTCCTTACTGTCATTTAAGAAGTACATTCACTTCTGATCATTTTTTCTTATGCTTTTTATTTTTCCCCCTTCTGTCTCTACTTCTGTGGTTGCCCACAGAATCACACACAGTACAAAGTTCACAAAATCCCCACACTTACACAAGCAATCCTATTCTGCTTTTTTCACCCTTATATACACAGCAAGACAGTTTGACGCATTATGTATATTCCTCACTGTGTGTGGGCAAGGAATGGTCATTTGCTGCCTTTATAAAACTTTCTTAGGTGTTCATCATGAAAGGGGTTGGCCACTTGTAGACGCTTGACCTTGTAAAGTAAACTACTTTCATTGGAGTGGGGGGAGCAAGCTCCTTTCCTTAAGAGCGAAACATTTCTGTAGTAGAAAATATGTGTAAAGGGGTCTAAGGAACAAAGGGAAAGACTACCACTTCCTACCTTTCAAAAACAGTGGAAGAGATTTGGAGCAAATGTGGGAAAAATGTTAGAATCAGCCATTCCAATTTGAATTCTCCAAGAGAGGAGAAAAATGAGTCTGACCATGCATCTGTTTCAAAACCCATGCTGGAACAAGCATATCTTTTGCAAGAACATTCTTTCTTCATTTCCCCCCACCCCCTTTTAAATTTCAAGTTGGCAAACTTTGAATTTTTCATAACATCTCGGAGGGTTTTCTTCATCTTAAAGCTTTGGAAGACCATGATGTAGACCTCATTAAGGCAGTCAATGAGAGAATGGGTATAACTGAGTCCTTCAAAAGATCTGCATCAGGTTTGCTATTTGATTTCACAACCACTTTATGCTCCAGACTTACTCTGGACAGGACAAGAAATAGAAGTTCTTTAAAAAACCCAAACCAACAGCCCATGTCATGTCATGAAGGTAAGTCACTTCCTTAGGCTACACATATATGTCAAGTCCTGAAGGACATGTTTTTCGTAAGACCATTATTGGCAACTTGTAAGAATCCTGACCTCAGATCTATGCAAGTGTGAGTGCTGGAGTTGGTTGCTGCTGCCTGCTTTTAACTACAGAGACGTGGTTAACAATACATAACAGACAGCTGGGATCAAAACCAAGCCTTGCCTGCTGAGATCAGTTGTCTTCAGAGACCCCATCTAAGCCCTGCGAGCCGCGCTGTGGAACTCGGGAAGCCACAGTATGGCTGACCCACTACAGCAAAGCCTGTAGAGACGCTTCATTAACCTCCTGTGACACACAATTTACTGCAAAGGTAAGTTTAAAGTCATGTCTTCCCGGTGCTTTCAGTCATATCACATACCAAAAGAGGAGGGGAAGGTTTTGAGATGCAGTGCGGAAACCTGAGATACTCCTTCAGCACTAACCAACCTACTGTTGTGAGGTTGTGTTTGTAATTCAAATGAGTTAATTGAGCTGATGGCTGGTCCCAGTAGCTGACTCTTTACACATCAGACTGTTGCTCCATCCAGATGGAATTGTGTTTCATTCAGCACAGGTGGGCCCTTATTCTTATGATCTAACTATTAGCATAAGCCGTTCATCCTATTATGGCACAGTTATAGGCACAATGGGAACCCAGGGAAATAGCCCCTTTTATTCCACAGCTCCTGCCTCTTCCATGTCCTTGACTTATATTTGCTGACTTTGCTGAAATAAATGAGCATTTATTCCTGGTAACCTTGCAGAGGCAATGCAACTACTGAAAAGACAGCTGGGAAACAGCCTCTCCTCATATCAGAATCACTGTCAATCAGTGCAGGTTGAAACAGAGTGGCTGTATTTCTCATTTTTTTCTTAATTGCAAGATTCTTTGCAAATACATGTTGTTGAAATGTTAATCGATTTGAAAGCAGCCCAGATGTCAAGTAAGTTCTTGTTACAGAATGTCGGGCAAAATATAAGAAGCCACTGAGGTTTTTGTGTGCTGAGGACAGTTTGAACTGCTGAAAATAATAATAATAATAATA